TATTAAGAGAACATTGTATATGGATAAATGTATTGAACAATTTTTGTCCCTTGAGAATAAGAAAAAGATTTCTATGGTAATTTTTAAAAACTATATTTTAGATAGTGTAAAAAATTTAAACTTCTTTTTAAAGATTGATAATCTGGATAGAAAGATCAATATAACATCTATGCAAAAGATATATCAAATTATTTTTTGGAATGTTAGAGTACTATATTGAATATTGTATCATATTATTTAACATTGTACTGCGACAAATCTAAATGCTACTTAGAAATAATCTTCTAATTAGTTGTTTAGTGTGTATGTGTGTGTATAATATGATCCAAATGCTAATGGAAAAACATTACCTTCTCTTATTTTTCTGTGTGGTTCAGGTGACAGATTCACATTATCATTTTGATCCGTAATTAAACAAACCTTCCTGTTCATATAACGAAAAAATATTCTTGATACATCATTGAAAAAAAGGCATTTTTTCAGCTATACATCATGCGGCTACTACGTTCAAACCCTCATTGGTTACACAATTATGACTATTGGATAAATTTTTAGGTTACATTATATTCTACTACAAATAATATTTACAACAAAGGAGCATCATTATGTGCAAAAAGTTCTCCTAAATCTTATATAGTCACCAGATCGAAGATAAAAACTGTGCTCCCGTTCCGTTTGTATATCTAGAGTTATAGAAGAGAACAGAAGATATTTTCTGAAATAATTCTGATAACCTAAAGCACGTTGGTAGGCGTTAAAAAACTATATAGCAAGAGAAAAACTGCGTTTGATCGGCTTTAATAGGCATGTTAGATGACTCAGCCAACTTTTGATGATCGGTTTTCCAGAGACCAGTTTTTTCAACCTTTTAGTGTATTTCACATAAGTTTTAAAATACAAGTTATGAGCGTTTTACGTGACTGATTTAAAAAATCTTTTTTGGTTTTTCCAGTTAGTTTTCTAAAAAACCGGTCGTCAAAAGTTGACAAAATATTGGTTCAGTTTTCTATTTTCTATCGAATGATGGGTCGCCGGGTTCTACAGTACTTAACTGAGCCGAGTTATTAAAGATTTAAAATAAGTTAAATTTTTAAAAATTTAAAGTTCAATACAAATTTAAACTTGATCCTGGAAATTCGAATTTTTTCTAAAATTGCAGTCTGTATCGTCTTAAATACGATCACGTCAAAAATACGATCACGTCAAAAATCTTTCGAATCCAGAGGATCTTCCTAGGAAATAATCTCATGGACCACAAGTGTGCGAAAACCCATAGCTTTCTACATCCCTTCATTTTGAAAAAATCTAAATGAGCAGAAGGAAACAATATCCTTCACAATATCCTCCACGCGTTCAAGTTTAACGAGTTCATGCACGTTTATATTTTGTTAACGGGTCTAAACAAATTTTAGCTGAAAGAGTTGCTCTTAACAGGTTGAATCCAGTGTGAATATTTGACTCGTTCAGATCCGCTAAAACAGTGATTTTGAATCACCATTTTACTTTGCATGATCAAATCATATATAAATGTCATGCTGTTTTCTTTTCCTATATACAAAACATATGCTTAGATATTTTTCTAACTTTTTCTCATAAATTACTGTAAGAGATTAGTCTAACGTACTGGAGCTGATGAACAGTATCTACTACAACCAAGTGAATCTTGAGATCCATTAACAGGACAGAAAAGCAATACTAAAAAGCAATAGGAACAGAATGGTACCGAATTAAGTTGTGTTAGTAAAATGAAATGAATAACACGTTCGAATTTGTTAAACATTAAACGAGTCTGAATGCTCTGTAACTGAAGAGTTATAAAACTCTAAGTCTTTAAAACTATAGAATATGAAACATTTAACGCGTTCATCCGCGATAATGAAATTTCACTCTGTTTTCATTTAAACTCAAAATTTTCATCTTATAAATTTGTGTTATTATAAACTGAAAGAATTCACACATACACACGCTAAGTAACTAATTGTAAAACAATTTCTGAGTTGGTCAGTAGTGTAAATTTTCTTCATTGAAATCGATTTAAAAAAAGAACCTATAGACGATGTTTAAACTAGCCGTCTAAGAACTTAAATTGAATATTACCAGTAATCACTTTGAAACGTTGAAAAACATTGTCAGAGGACTTTTTTTAAATGGAAAATGATGACTCGTATATAAAATCAATTTGATTTTGCAAAGAAAACTTGACATTTTTTAAACGTCGTTTTAAACTTAGATAGTTGGGTTTGAATAAATTTGTATGCTCAAAACTCAATCTTGTCCAAGAAACAAATTAATCAAATTCAATTTAAGAATTTCATTGAGTATTATCTAAAATTTGTCTTGTAAGAACGAACAACGGATTGTTGAAGAAAAAAAAAGAAATGATTCTTAGTTCTTTACATGTTTTTATGAGATGTAAACAATAATTTACTCTATACACATTGTTGTGTTTGTCTAGTAATAACTCTATCGATTGTTGTTTTTGTTGGATCAACCACAACATCTACCTTCTCAATAAACGATGACGAATCGTGTCTGAATAATAAACGACTGTACTTGATTTAACTTTTCTTTTGTTTGCACTTCAGACCGTGAATATACTTGTTATATAGTCAATTTACGTTTTTTCTTTTCAATATTGTAAGTACCAACCAATATCTCATCAAAATTCACTTTTCAATGAAAATAAAATAAAATTTCAGTCTTACTTGACAAGTTTTTGTTGAACAGAAAAGTAAGTTTTTACGTCGTATTAATAGTCATACTTATGAGCTTTCCCTTTTTTTTCTGTTAAGAGTTTTTTAGAAAAAAAAGAATGACTTATTTGAAAACAGATTAAGCATCTTTGTTAATCGTAGCAGATAATTTCAATTAAACGCTATCAATTAATCAATCTGTTGAGATAATGTAACCCATGACAACGACTTTTGGCCTTGAACTTCGGTTATAGATCGACTTTTTAAGTATCAATTTCGAAATTTCTGTTATTAGTTCTCTTCTGTTCGATATGCAAAAGTAAGATGATTTATTTTTATGTCGACAGACATTATGTGTTTTTGCTGGGATTTTTGTTTTTTTATTTTCTTCTTTCTGTCATCCCCATTTTTTTGGGCAAAATATGCACTGCATGATCCAGAGAACTACACTATGTAGAAAACTTTTGAAAACGGGAGGATAATTTCTCGACATTGGGGATCGATCAATGCGCGTTCTTTTTTCAAACATAAGTCCAGATTCGGCACCATAAGCTACACAAGTAGAAGTAAAATGTTTTTTGGACTTCGAAACTTTTCGTGTATTTATAACAGTTGATTGTCCGGCGCCATTTGTTCTTGAGTCGAAATGTCAAATAAATATATCTGTATTGATTTGATTTTACTTAATATATATAAATATATATATATTGAGTAAATCGAAGCAAAAATGCAACGCTAAGAGGCTACTGGTAGGATCTTCTTGGAGCAGTAGGTTCAGTCAGAGACAGAGTCTGTCGACATCGCAACTTGTGTGCTGCGCAATTGCAATCTACTTCTTCTTTGTTGTTCAATATTATCGGTTTATTATTGTACATCTGTACATGACAAGTGTACTTCATTCTTTTTGTGACAAAAAATAGAAAGAAAATTACATTTGTGTCGACTTATATAACGATTTTAGAATCAACAGATGGTATCATAAGGTTTCTGCTAGAAAGCTTATGTAATCATATTTTTCTAACTAAAATGCTCCGCTTCAGATGATCGTTCGATTAACTCTCTATACTAAAAACCAATGACTAAAGAGTGTCAAGTTGACACTCTCAACTTTCAGACGCTTTTTTTAAAACTGTATAGTTCTGACGTTGATGATTTTTGAGTTTATAATATACATTGTGTGCCTTTTCTTAAAGGTATCGTACTACAGGTATATAATACAACTAAGACATGTGAGTTTTTCATTATAAAGCGTTCAGATGATGTCACAAGAAATCGGAGTATTCGTTATGAAGACGTCGAAACAAGGTTGTCGTTGTTGGATACAGTTTTTCCGCGAGCATAAGGTGAAATGCTAGCTAACTTTAGTGGCTATTCCACTAACGAGAGAACCTCTCGAGGTGATAAAACGCTTTTAGCTCGGAATTTAGTGGGTTATAGGTTCTCGATCATGTTAATTCAGAATATGGCCATAGGGAGCAGCCCTTAGCCCTTCAAAGATCCGGTTTTCGAGAAAAGCCCTAAGTGTTCATTGGCAGTTCAAAGCTACAGGAATAAGAAGGAAAAAATTTATTTAGTGCTTTCTTGTAAATTCAATAACTTTGCAAAAAAAGGTTGTGTAAAGCTGGGGAATATCTCATTTTAATCAGAAATTTGCGGGCTATAATCATGTCTCATTAAGAAAGGTTATAGTTATATTTTAGAGTTTCTGAAAAACTGGTTTTCTCGAAAACCGGATCTTCAAACGGCCATCGGCAGCTCCCATAATCATATTCGGAATCAGCATGTTCGATAACCTATAACTCACTAGATTTCGATCAAAAACCGATTTATAACCTCGAGAGGTTCCCCGATCAGTGGTAGGCCTTTTACATCAGCAGTATAAACCACTCACATTCAGAGGAGTGGGAGTAGTTCACCCACTCATATTTTAATGAATGTGAGTGGATTATACTGCTGATATAACAGACCTAGTCCTGAAGAGTTTTTCGAAAATGGTTCTATGGCATAAAATGTAGAGAATCAAATTCTACATTACTTCAAAACCCCTATACTTTATCGTTTTTTATCGAAAAATGCTTCGTTTAGGAGATAAATCGTTATTACTATTTTCTTTAATTGTCTTATTGCCATTTTCATTCCTTTCTTGAAGAATTCTCTATAAAATGATAGAAATATATATTTTTTCCATAATTTTGTAAGATTTTTGTAATTTAGCAACGGAAATTATCAGCCATACTTGAAGAAAATGCTTTAAATGCTAAAGTAAATTGTTATTTTATTTATGGATAATTATGAATATTGTCAATTTTAGATATATACGCTAGTATTGTTCATTAGATATTTGATTTTTGTTTGTTCTTCATTTGAAAATCGATTATTGTACAAATATAAATCATTTATATATTGCATATTTGTTAACAATTCATAAGGTAAAGAGGATAAATAATTATCGCTTAAACTAAGTTCATTTAGTATAGATAAATTTTCTATTTCTACTGGTAAAGTACATAAATAATTTGATGTTAGATCTAATGATTTCAATGTTTTTATTATACCAATACCCGAGAGTGTTGTTATAAAATTATAAGGTATAAATAAATGTTCTAATTTGTATAACAATAATAATTCTCTTGGTATTTGTTGAAATTTATTTGAACCTAAATGTAACCAATGTAATTTTTGTAAATGAATAAATGATAATGGTAATGATGATAATAAATTTCCACTTAAATCTAAAGTAGTCAACGAATAGAGTTGAGTAATAAAATTTGGTACAGTTTTTAAATTACATCCACGCAGTTCTAAACCTTGTAATTGTGGTAGATGTCGAATATTTGGACTAAATGATGATAGAGGATTAAAATTTAAATCTAAATGTTTTAAACGAGTTAAACCAGATATTGTATCGGATAATATTGTAATTTTATTATTATATAAATATAATGTTTCT